AGGACATAGATTGCAAAATGCATCTGAATGTACCGTATAAGACACACCTTTTTCCCTCAAAAAAGAGGGTGAAAATCTTGGTGCGTCTTATACACTGAATACAGCATTTTTGGCCTCCCGAAACCCTGTCCCCCGGACCCCTTTTTTGTTCATTCCCCCTCAGCCCCCAGGAACACTCTACAAGCCTCCTAAAGGCTATGCATGCCCTTTTCTTTTTTTTTTGACAAAAACCGGGCCCGTTTTTGGGAGGTCTGCAAAGTGCAAAAACTTTTTTTAAAAAATTTGCCACTTCAAAATCTTGGTGAATCTTATACTCCGGGTGCGTCTTATACTCCGAAAAATACGGTAAATGTTTTTGCTTTTAAAAGATAATGTATCTAGTCCTTTTATTTTAAAGGTAAATACATTATAAAAAATATTAATTTATTAAATATACTTTATGCCACCACAATAGTAAACTTTCATAGGAAAAAATACCATATAAAACATACCCAATACAAAAACTAAAAATCTATACGCTACTAAAATTTTATGACTGCAACTGTTAACCGGCTGAAACGCTGCATTATTTTGGAACAAAGGTGCCTCAAACTAGCTAATTTATAGAATACCTCAAAAATATAGGATCCATGACTCCAATGGAATAGAAATTTGGCAAATATAACATTTATATTTGATAAAAATGCTCATAAAGCATTTTTTGATATAATACAAAATGTCATAAAACATTTCCTGTGGTCAACTGCTGATGTTTGCCTGTGATATACACTTCAACATGGGCTATTTTCAGGGCAGAATATCTCCCTGAATTTTTAAAAGTGTGTTAGAAGCTCTGCAATTGTTGAAGGCATTGAGATAAGGAAGTATCTCTGAAACAATGAGCCAATGTACATGGGTACCACATCTAGTGATACCACCCAATAAAGAATAAATTATGGGAATATTAAATCAAATTGGGAAAAGGCTCTCTGAAATAGCTCAGTCTACTAGGGCTTTGAGAAGAAGATACTCTGCTCTCCACAAGAAGATTATTCCAGTGTTGGGGTCACCATGGAACACAGCACCTTCTTGCCTCAGCCCCCTTAGTTTTAGCTACTGAAAGATGCCAAGCCCCAAAGGACTTCATAGATCAAAACCCACACCTTAAATTGGAACCAGAAACCAATTGGTAACAAATACATGGACAGCAAAATCATACTTATGTGCTTCCCAAAGGGAGGAGCCCAAAAGGATGCAGGCCACTGATTATGGAACACATATTCTTTAAGGGCAGCCCCAAGTATAGCTCATTACAGGCAGTCTAGCCAGGTGATGCTAAGGGCATGAGTTACTCTTACCAAGTGTTCCTGGCCCAGGTAAAGCTTCAACTGGCACACCAGTTAGAGTTTGGCCACAATTTCCATCCGCTGCTCTTGCAGAAGCCATTAATTCCAGAAGGGCCCCTAAGTTACAAATCTGCTCCCTGACAGTTAATGCTTGCCCATCAAGACATTAACAACAATCCAAACTACGAAAAGCAATTCCAACTTCCAAGGGTTCTAACTTCCGTCCCCTCCCATCCAGACTCCTGACAGCTTACCTCAGTGGTGGGTTCCTGATCCCATTCCAACAGGTACGATTGGAACAGGCCCGGTGGCGTCCACATGGACGCGTGCAGTGCGCACATCGTACTGTCAGAGATGCCTCCACGATATTCCAGCTGTACATGCCGTGCGTCTGCACAGAAGCGCCGAAGACTTTAAAGACAGGTAAAGAGCGCGGGTGGGCAAGTGGGCCCTCTGGAGCACCATATCGGAACGGTACCCGGTGATCCGGGCAGGCTCCGGTATACCTGTACTGGGCGTACCGCCTGCAACCCACCACTGACTTATCTGCACAACCTCTTAGAAAGAGTGTCAATGTCATATCTCCCCCATGGCTCAAAGTAATGATGTATAAGTGGGTATCATCAACAGATTTATGGTACCACTCCCAAACCATCCTATGATCCCTCCCTATGGTTTCACAAGATGTTAAAAAGCAGGGAGATAAGACCAAGCTCTCCGACACTCTATAGGTCAGGGGCCATAAGACAACCTCTCTTTCTTTACCAAACCAGATAGACAATGTTATTTATTATTTATTAAATGTTGTTTGCCAACCCATCTCACCATGACACAATATGTTACACAATTTTTCAGTAAGAAGCAAATTTGGGTTTAATTTCCAATATAGAGGGTATGAAAGAAATAAGTTCAGAAGTCTTACAGTAAATATAAAAACATGTAAATATTTAGATTTAATTTTTTTTCAGTTAGCCTCCATTTATGTGAAGTTACTCAATATTTTTGAGAAGAATATTCTGAAAGTGTCTTACACCCTCTCAATGGATTTTTGAAAGTGCATTTTCTAGAACTTCAGAAAAGTATCACTTTCTACAAGTTCCATATTAAACCAAACGTTTTTAAAAGTGTCACTCATTGTGTTGTAACTGTTTTCTGTACATTGTGCAGGTTGTTGTACATAGAACAACAAAACATTAAGACAAAAATGAGATAAAGCAATTATAACTTTTCTTTGGAAACTGACGCGAAGAGAGAAAAAGAAACGGAGATTGTGAATTGTCATATTCAATGCTGCAGCCACACCATCTTAGAATTTTTATCCAAGTGGGCGGAATTTGCCGAACAGTTAAAAGGCATATTTGGATGATTATTCCATTGAGCAGGTTAAATCATTTAAATCCCCAGGTATAGTCTTTTCATGTGAAATGCCCAGGGAATATGTAGCACAAAAGCCCAGAGAGCTGCTGTAGCACTGCAATCATCCTAAACTAAAGGGGCCTTACTTATCTCTGCTGCACGCCAACCGTACTTAGCCAAAGTTAGAGCAGAGCTGTTTTTCAGAGTCCAGTTTGCCTATATAGCTTTTTCTTTCCTTTAGAACAGGTTCAGACAAATTCTTGTAGGTATGTACTCCAAGCTCTTTGCTGTATCTCCAACATGATACTTCACTCTGAAGTAGAATTCTGACCAACATTTGGTTGCACATTTTTATATGGGAAGCCGCAATATATCTTCACCCTGTAGTTTGACACCTCAGATCCTCAACAATAATGTTATTTCATTCTGGTCTAAATTAAAAATTGGAGATCCTTTTATATTCTTTAAGTCAGCTCGGTGCAGTTGAATATGAGCACTCAAACAGCTTTAAGGCAATGGCTTAAAGATATTCAATTGGATTTGATATCTCTTCTCAAGAACACATTCCCAACTAGCGCCTTCACTCTCTATGGATGTGCCATATGCCTAGGCAATCTCAATCCCTAAATATACAGAATTATGGTGCTTGGGTAAAGCTAACCATACTTAACTGCTCTACAGCTTAACTAATTGCTCACAAAAGAAAAAAACAGCTTTAAAATGAAGATGATTAAAACGGGGAAAAAAATCAAATGTTACTTTTATGCTTTCATTTAGGAAGAAAGCTCTTCTCATTTTCCCTTGTTTTATTCATTATTATTTGATTAAGTAAACTGCAGCTCACAAAACATATGCTTTTTTAAAAAAAATGTTAGAAGCACCTCCTGATTCTCTGTCACACTAGACTAATGCAGCTTTCCTCCTAAAATGCCTAATCACATATGTACATTGTTTAAAATCTTTCCTGTTGTTAAATACTTACACCTCAAGAAATCTTGTGAATCATTGTGTCTAGCGTTGTCTCTCATTGCCTTGACTGGCAAAATCTCATCAGAATATTTATTTTGTCATTGTTTCTTAGATTTCCTAAAGTTTATCTTTGTACAGGAAATATATAAAAAGCTCTATCAGTGTACAGGAGAGGGTATAAAGGTAACAAGATAAAGAGAGATATACTTATGGTACACTTTCTCCAATTCTGAAATTTAAAATAAATTATTAGTTGGATCTTGTCTGCAGGTTTCAATACTGGAAATTGTACTGAGACAGCCTTGATCACATTTGTTGGTGACTTATGATTTATCTAGGATGGGAAAGTACAGCTGTCATTGATTTCTTGGTAACCTTCAATATCATTGATTATGACAGCATGTTGGATAGCCTCCTGAACCATGTGAGGGAACTAGGAGCCAGGTTTACAGTAGTTTTCTCCCTTCCTTCAAAGGCATTTTCAGTTGGTGTTCATGGAAGTACAGATCTAGATCTAAGTCTAAGCTTTAGGGGACCTCAGGATTTGATTCTCTCTTCATTCATATTTAATATCTACATGAAGCTGTTTGCATGAAGTCATCCATCGGAATATGGTTAAGTATTATCATACATTGATGATACCAGTTACATATCTAAATTTTAGACCAACTAACTTGTCACCAAAGTTTCATCTCTAGATACTAAGAGAGTCTGTAGGGAAAATAACAGGCTAAGGCTCAACCTCTAGCAAGACTGAGGCCCCCATTCACAGTTACTCATCCATTAGCAATTTCAACTATTACAATGTGCTCCACATCAAGTTGCTCTTTAAGATGACTCAATTGTTATAACTACAAGTAGTCCTTGATTGGTCATTTAATGACCATTTGAAGATATGAAGGCCTTGGAAAGGATGCTTCACAGCTTTGCATTTCTTCATTGCCAGGTACAAATTAAGCATGTGCAATTATAATCTAATGTCCCGGATTTATAACACTAATTTCCCAGATTTTAAAATGGTGTAGAAATTGTAAAAAGCAATAGCAACAAAATATTTTACCTGGATAGTTCTATGAACATCATCCACTTGAAGAGATAACACGGCTGATGCCAAATTCCATTCACCGGTCACACAAAGTTTTCTCCCATTGACTTCCACCTGTTGTAACATAAGGATATTCTTACCATAAATCAGACAAGAAGCAAAACTCAAATTCATCGCGGCAAACAAAAGAGGAAGCCCAAAGTTTCTGCCACAAAAGGTAGGGCTTGTCAACAAAGTCTTTTTAGGATTGCTGAGGAAAAGTGAAACACATTTACAGAAGCTGCCTGTGGGAAATGTTAAATAATTTGTACAAAATGTTATGGACTTGGAGTCCTCAGAGTCCAAGGCTGAACCTAAGCAACTTAATTCAGCAGGCTGCCAGCCTCATGAGTTAGCAGAAAATTGCCACTTGGGATGGACTCAGCATGTACAGAGGAATCAGGCAATAAGGGGCCTGAAGCTGCCAGACCACCTAATTCCAGGATGCGTCAACAGCTTCAGAGAGCCAAGCAAAAGCACTCTGCTCATGTCCTCTCCTCATTCTTATTTATTATCTACATAAAGCTGCTTGCATCAAGTCATCCATCAAAATGTGGTTAAGTATTATGCCTAACAAAGGTTCCAGCATCCAAAACTAAGCCATATCTGTACCTGTTCTGCTTAAAAGCAGCTGGCAGTGGTCTATCCTTCATTGAAAACCACATGCCAACCTAAAATCTCCATTTCTATGTGTTTACTTCCTGCTGTTCCTTGAGTCTTGGTGTTTAAATTTGAACCAGTTGAGTAACCCATGTATTCAACTCTTGGATTGTTGTGGATTATGGGTTTTTTTTTTAATGCATGATCCATTTGATTCTGAGCTAAAATCTCTAATCATTCAGTTCCCAGGAAAGGCTTTTTGGTTTAGAGAATTTTCCCTATTATTCAGAAAAAATTATGCATGTTTCTGATTGTTCGAATGTTTGTATTAAAATATTAGATAAGCAGAGTAAAATTTATTGATCTTAAAAGCTACAATAGCAAGTAAGTCCTATGATGTAGTTTAAAAACAAAATAACAAAAAGTCTGTACCTTTTGCAAAAATAAGCACAGGAAGCAACTGGCAAACTACTGAATTGTAATCCTTGGAAACTATCTGCTACTGAAGTGGGTACATGTTGTAGAATATTTATTAACCAACCATGATATGAGACCAGCTACTGGGATGGCGATTTTGGGAGAAGAAATTGCCAAGTGAAATAAAATAGGAAGCCAATCAGATGAAGACCGAACCAGCAGCCTGAATGCATCCATTGAAAACACTCCATAACAAATGAACAGGATATGTATTAGGTCATTCCAGAAGTTAGATTTAGCAAATAAGAATGTAATACTGGAAATCTATTTGTGGCCTTAATATAGTTTGATATAGTTTGATTGAATAGAAATAATAAATAAACCAACTGCATTTTACTACTTTAGAACAATATATTATGAACACCTACTTTTGTACATCTCTGACTGGCACTCGGATAATATCAACTTACAGAATTCAAATTCTTCCCATAGGATATTCTCTGAGGTTTAAACACATTCTTTTTGTATCAGATTCAACTCTGAGAAATCTATCTTTGCCTTGCATTTTTGAATAGACGTTTGTTGCTAAAATGCTAGAAATAATACCAAAAATTCTGATGTTTTTTTTTAAAGTTGTAATGCTGCACAGGCTCACAATTTCCAATTATGGTAGTGACTTCTCAGGCAATCTTATTATTTACATTTAAATGCAATTGAAATTAAAAAGCCTTAATACTTTTCTTCAATAATTATTTTTCTGTTACATTCTGAGGCCTGTTAAAATGGCCTTGGGAGGGCACTTGACACTGAATAACAGTCATTGTATTTTCCCTAGCATATGCCTTGCTATTTAGTATAAATTAGCTTTAATCTGGATTTGCTACCTTACATTAAAGAATCAAACATATAAATGTTGGAGTTGAATCTCTGAAAAAAAGAACACTTCAGTGAAACAACACTAAAAACATTACTTTTTATGGAAAACTCCATTATTCAATTAAATTTTCCAATTCGTACACAGATACCAAGTTTAATAAGTATTCTCATCAGAAAAAAGGTTATGAACATTCTTGATAGGCTAAAATATGTTTTAAAAGGACTTTATGTCAAGGGCAATCTTGTAAAAAGTAAAACCACAATCATATCAAGGTTAACCCAATTAGTAATTTTCTAAAGGTAAAGGAAGTAGGTAATCCTAATCTGGTGCCAATTTTTCCCCGGGTGTGCACACCTTTTCCTCTGTACTTACGTAAATTGGAAAACTGAATGTTCCAAATAGTTTATGGAAATGTTTTCACACTAGCTTTTTATCAATTCAATACACAAAAAGTAAAACACATCAAAGTATCTACCATGAAACAATGAGGGAACAATACTTTATAAAATTAAGAGTTGCTGACTTGTTTTATCTGATATGAAAAGGAAAAATACTTATGGCAAATCACTTAAATCTGGTTAATCTTCCATTGTCAAAACATGAAAGTAGAGGGCTTAAGGTTATTTGCGCATTCAAAACACTCCCATTGTTCACACTACATTATTCTGAGAAATAGAAAGAACATTTTTTTATTAAATACAGAGAACAGATTCTATCCTGAGCTACTAAAACAAACTGGCAAACGATGTTACTGGTACCACTTTTAAGTGTTCTATAGGAAATGCTTTTTTCTGCTCCTACAAATTATATTCTGGGGCAACCAGGAGAACCTTCCAAATAAAAAATTCAACTAGTGGCAAAAGCCACATACTGGTAGCTTAAAGCTGCCACAGCAGTGCCATACCGGGCTGCATTTGTTGCCAGTCTGTGTCTTAGGCACTAGCTCTGTACTGATCACAGCAACGTTATTAATAAATTATCAGAAAACTAATATTTTAATTTCTGACCAGCATTGTTGTAAAATTAACAACTGGGAAATAAATTGGACTCATATTGAGCAGGTGTGTACCTACAAATATCTTGTTTCCTTATCACGGATGTTTCCGGCCTCCAGAGGGCCTCTGGAGCCTGGGGAGGTCATTTTCGCCATCCTAGAGGTTTGAGGAACGCCTCCGAAGCCCAGGGAGGGCAAAAATGCCCCCCCCTGTGGTGCAGGACCCCGAATAAGCCACGCTGACCATGGCCACGCACGCCCAGCAACCAGGCAGAGAAGACCTTGCTAAAATTTTTGAAGCCTACCCCTGATCACAAGATTTTACCACCCAAAAGGAGCACATTATTTCCCAGTAAAAGAAGCTAGATACAGAAGTTTTACTTCCTAAAAAATTATACTGAAACACATTAGCATTTTGTTATCACACTAAAGTATGCTATTGTAGAAGTAGTAGCATTAATAAAAATGAATGCCAAACATTTAATATGGCCCTTAAATAGGCATTGTTTCAATTATGAAGTCACACCCTGCACTTTGTGTAATTTATATTCCCAACTGTATTCAAATGACCATAAAACTCCTACATTTATGTTAATCACTCACTTAGTATTTACTCTATAATTTGACCCTTTTGCTTTCATCACATATGCTAATTACTCACACTTCTTTTGAACTAGCCCATTTGTTATTTTTCTTTTCCAGTTCTCTTGATACAGAACTATCAGCTCCATGCTTATTGCTAACATTTCATGACAGTATCTTATGAAGCCTCTTTCTCCTTGTTTCTACAGTACAGGTAGTTCATGATGTACGACCACAGTTGAGTCCAAAATTTCTGTTGTGGAGTGAGACATATGTTAAGTGAGTTTTATGATCTTTCTTGCCTCAGTTGATAAGTTAATAACGTAGTTGTTAAGTGAATTGCCTTCCCCATTGACTCTGCTTGTGAGAAGATTGGTTTACTCCATTTTACAACTTTTCTTGCCACCGTTAAGTGAATCACTGCAGATCTTCACTTAGTAACACTGAATCTCACTTCCGTTTGTTTATCAGAAAGTTGTAAAAGGGGATTATATGACTCCAGGGACATTGAAACTGCCATAAATAAGTCAGTTGCCAAGTGCCTGAATTTGGATCACAGGACCATTGGGATGCTGAAATGGTTGTGTAAAAAAAGGACTTAAATAATTTTTTTTCAGAGCTCTTTTAACTTTGAACGGTTACTAAATGAACTGTTGTAAACTGAGGATTACTTGTAATTATGATAATTAAAGATAGCTTACAGAGTGATGTTTCTTTAATGCTTGTGTTTATTACAACTATGTAACTGAATCTTCTTTAAAATGCTTTATATACGTTTCCTAGTTAATATTTGACCAAAATTAAATACAGATACCAGTAATCCTTGCTTACTGCCTCATTCAACACTGATCAAAGCATTAAAAAAGCAGAGTTATGACCAGTCCCCAGAGTTGCAGAAGTTGCAGCATTCCTACAGTCATGAGAGTGCAATTTGGGTGCTTGGAAAGCCAGGTACATTTTTGATGGTCATACCATCCCCGGGTCATATGATCACTATTTATAATCTTCCTACCCAGCTTTCAACCAACAAAATCACTGGAGAAGCTGGCAGGAAATCACAAATCATGGTCACATGATGTTACACTTAATGACAGAGTGGACAGTCCCAATTGCTGTCGGTAAGTGAGGACTATCTACATGCAATATGGCTTGTTGCTGACTTTACATTATTTTTCTTTACAAAAGCAAAGCTCTCCAGTAAGTAAAGAATATATTGTTTTCACTGAATAAAAATAATTGGAAAAATCTAAGACAATACAGTTATGTTGGGGACTGTATTGGTTATTTTTAAAGAAAAGGAAAAGGAAGAAATTAAGCATAAAATTATTTTGCTACCTGCTAAATGCCATAATAAAACAGATAAAAGACCTGAATTTTATTCTGCCATACATTAAACTCTTTTATGCATGGTCAGACATTATAAGAAATAAACTGTGATTTTGTGAACTTGCACAAAATGCAGTCAACTATAAATACATTTAATGGATTATGCCAGCAACCTGACAACAGTTTGGTTTTTAATGTTCCAAAATATATTTCCTGAAGAGAAAAAAAAGGAGACACTGAGCAAAAAGTTACAGACATCATTTTAAAAGAATAGGCTGC